CCGTTTACAGCCTTGGTAATTGATCGAACTCCTCCTAGGGATTTTGATTGATCGGCTTCAAACTCGGTCAGTCTGTTCATAAGGCATGTCCCATCTAAAGTTATCAAAACGGTGAGTTTTTGAGTATGCTGAAAGGGGGTTAGCAGGGGTCAAAGTTCACCTACTCGCCATAAAAAAATAAACTGCTATATCTCCTACACAGAAACTCACAGAGGCACCAAAGTTTCTGTGATTGTTCATCATCGGGTGTCCTACAATACCCTATGGTCGAATGATGACATCACTTAGGCCACGCCCCATGAGAACAGGAAGTGTAATGTTTTACTTTGGACCTTCGCTATCTGACCCCTTTGACCTCATCAACATGAAACTGTGCCCAGACACAGAAGACATGTTGGTGTATTGAGGATTCCAACCCCGACCAGATTCAATGGAGCAGGTGGGCGTGGCGGCGTGGCGAAGTGACCTCTAACGCCATCGCCATACGTTTGGCTCTCAATTCCACATTTTCGGGCCCAGCTGCTGCAAACTCACAAGGATGGATCCTCATCCACTCCCCGACAGGAATCCATCACAATATTTGGTGGGCGTGGCCTAATTTCTCTATAGCGCCCCCTAGAAAACTTTAAATGATCAGCCCCAAGCCATGCTTTAACCTACAAATACGAAACTTTGGACACATGTGTATCATGTCAGGACTTACAAAAAAGTCTCTTGGAGCCATGGTCTAAACCCCAGAGGAAGTCGGCCATTTTAGATTGAAGTTCAGATTTTGACCCCATTTTTGCCGTTTACAGCCTCCGTATTTGATCGAACTCCTCCTAGGGATTTTGATTGATCGGCTTCAAACTCGGTCAGTCTGTTCATAAGGCATGTCCCATCTAAAGTTATCAAAACGGTGAGTTTTTGAGAATGCTGAAGGGGGGTTAGGAGGGGTCAAAGTTCACCTACTCGCCGTAAAAAAATAAACTGCTATATCTCCTACACAGAAACTCACAGAGGCACCAAAGTTTCTGTGATTGATAATCATCGGGTGTCCTACAATACCCTATGGTCGAATGATGACATCACTTAGGCCACGCCCCCTGAGAAAAGGAAGTGTCATGTTTTACTTTGAATGGTCGCTATCTGACCCCTTTGACCTCATCAATATGAAACTGTGCCCAGACACAGAAGACATGTTGGTGTGTTGAGGATTCCAACCCCGACCAGCTTCGATGGAGCAGCTGGGCGTGGCGGCGTGGCGAAGTGACCTGTAACGCCATCGCCATACGTTTGGCTCTCAATTCCACATTTTTGGGCGCAGCTGCTGCTCCAAACTCACAAGGATGGATCTTCATCCACTCCCCGACAGGAATCCATCACAATATTTGTAGGGTGTGGCCTAATTTCTCTATAGCGCCCCCTAGAAAATTTTAAATGATCAGCCCCAAGCCATGCTTTAACCTACAATTACGAAACTTTGTACACATGTGTACCATGTCAGGACTTACAAAAAAGTCTCTTGGAGCCATGGTCTAAACCCCAGAGGAAGTCGGCCATTTTAGATTGAAGTTCAGATTTTGATCCCATTTTTGCCGTTTATAAACCATTTCAGTAATTCGCCACTTGGGGTCAGTATTGCTCCACAAATGAAACAGCAGATAAACAGGATGAAGAACAATATCAGTATTTCGCCAGTAGGTGTCAGTGTTCCTCCACCAATGACAAACAGATCCACGGGCGGATGGGCGCGAAAACTTTGTGAGAGCGTTGCCATGAAATTTCTAAAAGGATAGAAATGTCTCAGATAATGTTTGTTGAATTAAATCATGTAGTAAATGTAGCGTTTTCTTACTTCTTACAAACCATTTCAGTAATTCGCCAATCTGAGTAAGAATTACTCCAACAATGAAATAGAGTGCTTTAGAAACACAGCTGAAAATGATGAAAAATGACGAACTGTAGTACTTCGCCATGTGTATATGATCGGCTGTAAATGACACGTGGATCATCCGACTGACGCCAAATTGGATACGTATGACCTTTGTTGACCTCTAAAGAGCAAAACAGCATTGAAACGTAGTTTGACTCCACTGCGCCCCCTACATTAATCCGCCAGCTATATTTCCTCGCTAAACCAATGAATCTGCACCACATTTTTTTGGCATCGTCAAGGAGCGCAGCCGAACGCATCGATGCGTACCACCTGGTGGACGGGCGCAGAAACTGCGCAACAACTTCTGTGTTAGCACGTGGGCAGCGTTGATGGAAACTGAGCAACAGCTTCCGCGGTGCGGGCGGAGGCGCAGAAAACTGCGTGAGAGCTTCTGTGGTGGCTGGCGTGAGGCGATGGTTGCTAATACCCCGCGGTGGCAATAGGCCGGAGCGGCGCTTGGCTGCGAGGGCCGTTCGAGGCTGCTTGCAGCTTTAATTTAGCTTGTAGTTCAATTAAAGTGGAATTATTTGAATCAGTAGTTACAAATTTGATTAATTTCTCTGAATAAATTACACTCATGCCATTTTCCCATCTTCCAAAGTTCTTTGCTGAAATCCAATCATATTTTGTATTTCAAAAATTGCCTCTTATCCATATAATCTATAATCGAGTAATCAGCTTAAACTTCTTTTATATATTTTTTCAAATCCTATTACAATAATTATTGTCTAATAATCTGCCATTCATTTCCAATAGCTTTTATGTCTATTTTTATACTTACTTTAGAGATCGCTAATTTCACCCACACCTAAAAACAGCATTCCCCCCAACATCAGTTTTGAACAGTAAAAAGTAGGAATAATTTTCACAATGAAATCACAGCAACTGTTCTACAAAACAGTCTGATAGATTTACACTTTAATGTGTTTATTTAGAAAAAAATAAACACACATAGTGGTTATGTTACAAGAGTTCAGTTTAAATTGTCATTATTAAAGCCATAAACATTAATTATTATGAGCACTAAATGATCGATTAATGTCACTTTTGTGTCAGAATTTCCCCAGGAAAATTATTGAAACAAATCCAATTCAGCCATGTCAGCCCATTGGTTATCCCAAAAAGGTTCATCTGTACTTGAGGAGTGAGTCTCTTGAAATAAAAAGCAGTTTGACTTTTGTCCTTTCGAAAACAAAAATAATGCTTTTCTTTTAACTATGTGCTTTAAACCTCTAACATTGAGTGAATCAAATGAAATTTTCTTATTTGACATTATAAACAACAAAGGTCCTTGAATAGAAAATAAAAATAAAACTCAATTTAACTGAACATCACAAAATGATATTCTTTAAGTTAACTGTAGAAAAAATGAAGCGTTGAAGAGTTGCAGCAGCATCATGTCCTTTTACAAAGTCTACATCTCTATCTTATTCAGTATGCATATCATCCAGTTTGATTTGGATCAATATATCAATATATCCAAACTATGTGCTACTGAAATAGGCAACCTTCTTCTGTGGCTTGATAAATCTGCGGCCACACATTATTTCTCTCCTCCCAGTCTTTTTTGGGTAGCATTTCAGCAAACCAGATGCCCAGTTCCTTGCAATAAGTGGATTTTTTGGTCTTCTTCAAGATTTCTTCCTTCAACAATCTTTGTGTAAATAGCATGATGTTTCTGTGTTTGTTCTCCATCCTTCATTCAGAAATGATGTGCTTCAGAGTCTGTATGACTAAAGTCCTGACATCTTCATCTTTCTCCTCCTTCAAGCCTTTTATGGAAAGGCTCCATCTCATTCTGTAGCTTTTTTTCTTCTATTTGCCTCTTTTTAAGATCAGCATTCTTCTGGCTCTTTAACCTTTGCATTCTTTACCTTTGTTAGCATTAAAATCCACTGCCTTGGCTAGGCTAGCAAGCATAACTGCTGTGTGTCACCTGCAGTTCAATATTGCCGACGTTCTCTCCTAGCATCAAATTACCTTTCATTCTATCTCTGAGAGATATTTCCTCCTCTTCTTTCTCTTTAACTGACCTGGGTCGCTTTTCTCCAGGTATCTTTTCTCCAGGTATCTTGTTTGGCGTCTCTTTTATTTCAAGTGGAGATGTCCATGTCGTAGCTGTGGTCTGATTTAGAATTTGCTTCTTTCTTTTTTGAGTCAATTCTAGGCTTGAGTGACAATGTTCTGTGAAGCCATTTCAGTCATTTTAGTGGAGAGTAAACTTCAAAGAGTAGAATTTAGGACTTGCACTGCAAGCTCTAGAAAATATGGACGCTCAACTCGCCATCTTTAAAAACTCGCCGTTTCTTCAAAATTATAAGATACCCTCTGCTATTAACATTCACATTGACTTCAACAAACACTTCTTTTTTATGGCGGTGTGCAAAACACTGAGTCCACTCTTTGTGACGTTATTGCGCCCCGCACTGCAGGATACATTCAGGTTCATGTCGCATATATTTCAAAGTGTGAAAGACCATGCCAAAAACATCTAATTTCACAAAAAAATCTGCTTTGGGTCAGTACAAATTTGCAATGTGAACATAGCCTTAGCTGCATTTCTGACTGAGATGATTGTATCTCTATTATGACTGCAAAAACGTACTTTTCTGATGAAGTTTTGCAACTTAAGGGTTGCATAGTTGAAACTGTTTTGCCTGTTGATAACTTTTCACTGCTTCAGCTTACCTGAAAATGAAATTAACAGACATTCATAAGTTATGTATTTATGAATGTTTATGATGTTCTTCAAACCGATGGCTGCTATTGTCTACTAAAACTCCATAAGTGTTCTCCAACACCCAGGGCTGGTCTCAACACCTGTGTGAACTGATCCCAACTCATGCATTTAAATACACGGCCTAACATGAACAATGAGACACTGTGCTTTTGAATTACAAAACAACATATTTATCTAGAAAGAAGACTAGATATTTCGAAAGAGGGGAGCGATCACTTGATCTAAAATCCCCAGTAACTGGTCCCCTACGTATTTCACAAATGTGGTAGAAAATCTTCTGACAACTCTTAAAAGTTCATGGGCAAATTTTTAATTTGTACTGTTTTGTATTTTTTATTTTAGGAGTGATGATCTTGGAGGCGGATTCTTCAACTCGAGGAAGAAGTGGATGAAAAGTTTGACTTATGCATTTCATAAATTGTCTGTTTACACCCAATTGTGAAACTGAGTCTGTGTCAGATAGTTCAAGATACAAAGTTAACCATGGAAAGTACCAATAGAATCAAACAGCTACAACACAGGTGTCAAACTCCAGTCCTCAAGAGCCACTTTCCTGCAGTTTTTCGATGTGCCGCAGGTACAAAACACAGGAATGAGACGTCTCAGTTACCTCCTCCTTGTGTAGATCAGTTCTCCAGAGCCTTAATGACCTGATTATTCTATCCAGGTGTGGTGCAGCAGAGGCACATCTAAAGGTTGTAGGACACTGGCCTTTGAGGACTGGAGTTTGACACCCCTGAGCTACAGTATCGGTAATGATTATTGTAGATTTTGACTATTGTAAAAGATCAATTTGTCTTTTTTCCAAATGAGAAATTTAAATTCATACAAGAAATAATGACCAAACTTCTGACCAGCACATTAATGTACACAATAAAAATGTATTCACCCACTTGGAGATTTCTTCATGAAATTGCAGATTTTCCTCAATTTTTAGAAAGTTGATTTGAATTTAGATATTACCAAGCTTGATAATTGTGAAACCTGCACCATCAGGAAATCAGTCAAATAAAATGTCTGGCATATTTTCAGGCATGTGATCTAGTACACCAAAGCATATTAAAAGATCAGGTGCTTTTCCACTAGACCTTCTCTAACTGGTCCACCCCAGCAACATTCATTTTCCATTGGAAGATTCGGTGCTGTTCTGTCTTGCTGTTCTCAGATTTTTATACCTACTTCAGGGGTAGGACCAGATGCACTGAACCAGGTACGCCACCAGAACAATTTGATTGACAGCTTCCAGCATCTGTTGATTGGCTCGTGATTTATGTCACTGAAATCTCCAAAATAATATTATAATTTAGATGTGGAGAGCTGCTCAGAAGAGCGTATCTATGATATTAATCCCCAGCAGTGGCAGAAACATATCCGGTAAGTTTTGCAGTGGAACGACTGTGATTTAGCAGCGCTGTAAGCAGCTGTTATCTCTGAAGAACAACCGCAGTTTTGGGACGACGGTAAGAAACAGAGTCAAACAATTCTGAAAAGAAGAGTGGGCTGAAAATCCTGTTTAAGAGTCACTGCCAGCAATCATAAATCCTTGATAGCAGCATAACATGAGTCAGTTTTAAGAATGTATAATATTAGATTTTTGGTCACTGTGCGATATGCCGATATTTCAAATACCAATACCGATATTATTTCCTACACCTACTTACGGAAACTATATAGCTTTCTCTGCAGTGGAATAGTGAAAGCTGCATTCTCTTTCTCAATTTACTCTGCTACCAAATGCAAATGCTAAAAATGAGGTTGAAAAATGTTTTAATACTTTCAACTTGCATCATGAGTAAAGTCAAATTTATTCATAATATTTTCTGTCTATGACATTTCACATTCAAACCATGCACATTTGACATTGTAATGTGCTGTAGGCATCGTCACTGGAATGTCAGATTATTAGAAAGCCCACACTGTTTATGCTAAGTCTGTGTATTATGGTATTGCGGTTTGCCGTTCTGCCGTTGTGAGTTCTAATTTCTTATATTATTGAACTCATCGCAGTTGTACAGACACCCTTGAATGCACCACAGATGTGCGACGTTGAGCAGCAGCGACACTTTTCTGCATTTTTTTCCTCGGAGCAGCTGCACACAGATTTTGTCTTCATGTCTGTTTGTCGTTCTGTGTGAATGCCGGACGGTGAGCTTGATTACTTGTTGTGTGGGTTTGGTATAGCTGAGTATTTCTGAATGTGCTGAAGTTTTTCCGTCTTACAGCTCCGTCCACTAAGATATGCTGATTTGCGTTTTTAAAATTCGGCTTGATTTAAAGCGAACTCACAATATACTTAAGTCACAAAAAATATGTTATGCCATTTAATTGGATAAGAAATTAAATATCCAACCACTCAGTATAAAATTTGTTGATTTTAACAACAATGATTTATTAAAAAAACACAACAACCCCACAATACTAAGAAATAATAATAGCTATTCTGATATCAGTAACCAAAAATCCTTCAAAAATAATTATAGGTTAGATTTAAACCACTCAGTTTATGTCAGGAAAAAAAATCCCTAAATAAATAAATGTAGAAAAATGTCCGCTCTTTTTTAATGAGAATAATGTCTATAAAAGATCCCATATTGTCAAAACATAGTCCTGGAAAGTATTTCCCCGTTTTCATCCAAAGTCCCAATCCAAAATGAAAAATCCGAGAAAAAAAAAGCCAAAAAGATGAGAAAAGAGAGTAGTAGCACCAAAAGTCCCCCAAAAGAAAAGAAAAGTCCAGAACTCATCGGGAGCGTCTTTCTTTCCCTTCCGGATCCTCTCTGACCGGGCGACGTGTCCTGGATGCAAGTTCCGATCCAGTTCCAAAAACGCACAACTTGAGGCTCTGGGGCAAACTTTGATTGCCGTTTAATGACTTTTATTTTTCTTGATTTTTTTGCTACTTGTAAACACTCAATCAAGTCAAGTCTCCCGCTGCACAGATGTGTCGGTGTGCGTCTTCCTCCGGTTGCACCGACGCTCACGTCCCTTAAAACCAGCGTGATGCGGCCCAAAAATCAGGTTAGAGCGGTGGAAACTTGTAATGATTTTAACAATCACGTAACAGCAACTGTTCTACAAAACAGTTTGATACATTTACTCTTTAATGTATTCAGAAAAACAAACAAACATAGTGGTTATGTTATCGGTTTAGTTGATTTGTTATTAGGATTTTGGGACAGTTTGACTGAAACAATATTTTGCGTGTAGCATTTGTGTTATGTTTCGTTTATAATACTATGCTGATTATTATTTGTCTATTGTGTCAGACCACCTACTTGACAAATTCCTACATAATAAACACATCTGGAATAAACCATTCAAGGTGGAATCCGTTATTCTTTAACTTAAACTTGTCCATATGTCTTGCTGCTCTAAATCAGAAATTCACATATAAAAACAACGCCTTTTATATCGAATGGCTCATATCCGATATAAAATTTTACAGTTAATATCGGCCAATGCCAAAACCATGCCAATAATATCGTGCATCGCTAACCAGTTTTTAGGGTTAGGGCAAAATGTTTCATTTCATACTGTGAAATGTATGTTTTGTTTGTCCTTTGAAACTGTTAAAACTATGGTTTTGATCGGTTTTTTTACCCATAAAAAAACTACATTTGAAAGTGTTGTGAAAACCATCATTTATTCTAAACCCGATAGACCAAAAACGTGCAAGCGCACGAGCAACAAATCAGCCAACATAAAGCAATCAGACATCTTTACGTTTTTTATTCTTTTTTAGCGCTAAAAAAGAGACGCTTACCATCACAGACTAGAAGTGAAAACCAGGGGCCCCGAGTCGATACAGAATGTCAGAAAAACGGGAAGATTTGTTGCTTATGATCTAAGAACACGCCCAGTGGTCATCCGATGTCCTGCGTCGCCTAAATCTCTATTTGCTTGAGATGGGAGTGAGGAGATGATTCAGTTTCTGTGTCTGTTACAAATACAAAGGCCTTTGTGTGAAAGTATGAGAATGTAATGTGTGTAGAAGCAAATGTGTGTATTTGACCTTGGTAAGCGCCTCAACAAAAGTCATAAAATATATAAACACATTGAAACATTTAAATGTGACAAAAAGCAAAAAGAACTAATCTGTTTTCAGCGACAGTATTAACTGGTACTGTGATAGCTATGTCGTTATTTACATTTGTTTGTGCACTACATTGATGTACTATTCTGCTCTTCTATATATATAGTTATGAAATTGTGGAAAATCTTAATTGTATGCTTGTTAAGTACTTAAAGTGATTGCAAATGTTCATTTCCATAGCTACTTCAATTAGCAGTTTTTAAACATTCCATATTTTTGAGATTATAAATAAATTATATTGATTTAAAAAAAACATGTCTTTTTTTTTTTTAAACTGCAGTTACAATTTTACCTTTGGGCAATCAGATTTTAAAGCTTGGGATTTCCACCAAAGCAATTAACTGATAAATAGTTAATTAGAAGGTTCTGTTTGCAAACTTTGATCTCATTTTACATGTGTACAGTGACAAATTTTAATAGTTAGGTAGAATATACTTTATAGATCCCCAAGTGGAAATTGCTTATTAGTTGATGAGCTACTCCATCCAAAATATGAAAATATTATTATAACCATAGGTATTTAAATACATCTCTGTAAAAAAGACTGCACTGAACTCCACTGAAAACCTGATAGTTGTTGTATGGAAGTAAATATGTGCCATCAGGATTTGAATAAAAAATGCCTCTGAATTTTCAACGTAAAAAAATTCAGTGATAAAAAATTCGCTGTTAAAAATTCACTACTCACTTTGTATTAAACACGTTTTTAAAAAATTATCTTTTTACCCTGACCTTACTTTGGTATTTGTTTTTGATGCACTAGCTCTTCAATTACCATATGAAATTTGAACTTTTTCCTGTAACTACATTAACTTATGTTTTTTTCTCTTAGACTGGTATAACATATGCAATGCTTCAAAGGCCTTTTCTCGCTGTGCAGACCATCTCCTCCAAAAACCTGCAACGGAGAACCCCTGGCTGTTGAAGATGGACTTAAGAGACAGAAAAAGACATGGCTCTGCATACTCATATATCATGTATATTATTTGTACTCTCAATTCCTCTAGTTTTGTCAAAATCATATATCTGATTTTGACAAAACTAGAGGAATTAGAATAACAATGTTCAGAGTAGATACTTCATTTGTCCTGTACTGTTTGTACAGGCAGTTTTAAATATGAAACTGAAATTGTTTTTATGCAAAATTTTATTGAATGTACTTACATGAGTTCATCTATGCTTGAAGTATTACAAAATAAATTACCTAAGACAAACTAACTTTCTGATTCTTATGATGCCAGAAATTTAAAGTACTACAACAATGGACAAATGTACCTATTAGCTTCCTTTTGAGGTAAGAAAAAAAACAATCAAATCAAACACTTTAGTTCTGTAACAACTTCCATAAAAGCACTAAAATTTACATTTATGGTAACATAATCAGCATTTTCCTTTACATTTTATAAATGTGAAGATTTCCGCTCTTCAAAATAAGTCATGCTTTGAATTTAATCACAGACAAAATCCTGATTATGATTAGTTATCTATATACAGTCAGATGTTAAGCACGATTTATACAATTATTATACACAGAATTTAACTTGATTGAACATAATTACAAAAAGGTAACGTGAAAAATAATTAAATTCAAAGCATGATTCATTTTGAAAAGCGGAAGTCTTATTTTGAAGACAACTTTCACATAGTAAAAAACTGCTCACAAAACTGAACTGCAGCAATATAAATGTCACATTCAGAAGATGTGATGTGGCTTTTGGGTTTACTGCATTTCTTTAGGCTGTCATTTGTTCATCAGTCAGTTGCAAATTAGAGTTTGGTACTGTGACGTTTGACTCGTGAAGAGGAAACCCGCTGTCCTTCCTTACAATTTCTGGAATTTGTACACCCTGGAAAACAAAGATTTGCCAATTAATACAACAAAAATGACAAATTTTAGCAAAGCTCAAACATTCTTTGTCACCAAAAATATATTGTGGAGATACAAAATAGTGGGAATTTTAATTGCACCCGAGTCTTCTATAGACTAATATTGACGACTCAGCTACAATTAATAAAATTCTGTCAAAATTTTATGTAAATACAATATTGCAATAATAAAACAAAAACTTTTATCACCTCCTCTGTAAATTTCAAAAATATTTCTCCTTAGACTGGGACATTTTTTTTGTGTAGCATATTTAATATACAAAACATTTTAAAGTGCTTTACTTGACAAAACAGACACAATTATTAAATTATGATATTTAATCTAAAATTAGTTAGCTGGCATACTTAGAAGCATGTTTTCTTCAAAATGAGTTAAAATGAACTGAGAAAACAAAGGGGATTGTTTATAGTGTTACTAGGTAACAGGACAACGTGTTGTAGCAATTAATATTCTATATCAATACTCGTCAGATAAGAAAAGCAGTATTTTGGATGATGTTATAATGACAATAAAATTATTGCTTCATTCATAAGTGAATTCTTCCGTACTTTACAAAAAGGATGGCAATCTTACTGTGCTCTTCTCCCGTTAAAATTGTAGAAACTATATCAAACACAAGTAAATCTACAGTTTGGTAGGTAACTAGTATTTTTTATAATGTCGTAATGACAATAAATTCATTAATTCATTCATAAATGAAGTCACATTAACAGTACAGTAGCTGAACAGAATGGGGTTGTGGGTATAGTTAATGTCGGAAGTGTTCACAGCCCTTCCTTGAAGCACACAAGGCAGCCATATTAACTTATTACATTAGTTAATATGTAAACTAATGATGCTTTCATTCATCCTCATTGACACTGTTCAGCCTGGGATGCGCGTCTCTATCTGAAGCCTGTATGTATCTTTGCTAGGCCATGGTGAAGAGCAGTAGCATCTCCTGAAAAATTTGGACTTTACTAAGACCGCCTGTCTCAGTCTCACCCAAGACAAGATACAAACAACCACTCATCAGTTCTCTTTAAAGATCCAAGTTTCTTTCTTTTTTAAATAAAACGGGGGAAGTTGGGTGAGGGACAGCGGGGAGGGGCTGGAGGCTAGGAGGCTAGGAGGGGCTGGATGCTAGGAGGTAGCGAGACGTTATATGCCTGCGCTACATGCTGTAAGATTAACAACGGACCAAACCAAACCCGTGTTTTAAATCTAGCTTTAAGATAATGTATCAAACCTCAGACGCAAAATGAAATGTAGTACAGAAATATGAAAGCATTAAACTCACCTTTGGGTTAGCGTTCGCCTCCATAGTCGCCAGCCTCCCTGATGCTGGTATTTCTCTATGACGTGGCGTCTTGTGATTGGCTGGGTGTTGGCATCTGACGTCCATTGCGCATGTCTGTGACCTGAAGTAACCTTGCCATTTTTAACAGCGAATTTTTAGACGTTGAATTTTTTTTACAGAGAATTTTTAGACGTTGAATTTTTAACAGCGAATTTTTTATCACTGAATTTTTTAACGTTGAAAATTCAGAGGCATTTTTTATTCAAATCCTGATGGCACATATTTACTTCCATATTGTTGTTTCTAAATGGATAAGAACTTGTTTTCTTTGTATTACTTGAGGTCTGACAGCACTGAATATTTTTTGTGATTTTGACTATTTCTCATTTTCTGCAAATAAATACTTAATTTTTTCTTGGAATTTTGTCAATAATTTATAGAATAGGACTACTATGCAGTGGTCTCTTACTTCTTATCAGAGATATATGTTCATAATAATGGCAGTGTTTTTAAAAAGGTCAGTAAACGTCAAAATTCTTCAAATTGTTTATAATGAACACAAAGGCTTTGTCACAGCAAAAAAGAGGAAAAAGTAATTGCCATATTTTATAGAAAGTCAAGAAATACAATGTTCAAAAAATAGCAGTGTTTACATTCTTCTTTACAAATTCAAAAAGAAACTTTATAAACAGAAACGCTGGAAAGAGTCATCTTTCCTGAGAATCATAAACTAATATTTAGTTGCATAACCATGGTTTCTGATAACTGCTTCACATCCACAGTACATGAAGTCAACCAGCTTCTGGCACTGGTCAACAGGTATTGCAGCCCTGGACAACTGTACTATGTTCCACAATACCTTTTGGTATCTCTTGGTTTTGCCTCATGAACAGCATTTTTCCATGGCATTAAGGTCCGGGGATTGTGCTGGCCACTCATTTACTTAAAATCTGTTTGTCTGGAGACATGATTTTGCTCGCTTCCTGGTGTATTTGTTGCAACATCTTACTCATCTTACATCTTACTCAAGGGCGTTTCCTCTTCAACATACGGCATTATGACTTATTCCAGTATTCTGATGTACTCAAACTGATCCATGATCTGTTATGCGACAAATAGGACCAACACCACAGTATGAGAAATATCCTCATATCATAATGCTTGAACCACCAAGCCACTGTGTACCGTGGCTTGAATTCAGAGTTTGCAGGACGTCTGCAAAACTGGCCCATAGATCTAAGAAGAACAGTTTTACTTTCATCAGTCGACAAAATATTTCGACTGATGTATGTTTCTTTTTAGGCCAGTGAATATGTTCTTTGGCAAATTGTAGCCACTTCAGTACATGTATTTTTTTAACAATGGGACTTTGTGGGGCTTCTTGCTGTTATTGTTGCTTCACAGAAACATCGTCTAATTGTTGCAGTACACTCAGGCAATCGGAAATCTTCTTTGATCCTGCTGGAGCTGATCATTGGTCTTTGCCATTTTGGTTATTCTCCAATCCATTTCAATAGTTTTTTTTTCTTCCTCAACTTTGTGGTTTTTGCTGCCATTTTAAAGCATTTGATACCACTTTAGCTGAATAGCCTATCATTTTCTACACTTTATAGGTTTTCCCCTCTTTTCTAAATTTTTGATCAAAGAATGCTCTTTTTCTGAACAATGTCTTGAAAGACCCATGTTACTCTGTTTTTCAAGAACATGCACATCCAGCTTATGCAGCTGGTGGTAAGGGTCACCTGTTTAACACATGTTTTTTTTTGTTTCACAAAATCAATGACCTCACTAATTGAACTCAGCACTGCTACTTTTTGAACACACCCCTTTCAGTACATGATTCAGTTTCACAGAATCAGCACCTTGCGTATCATGCCTGTTGAGTCTGTTGGTTTTCTATACCTTTACTAAACCTCCTACAGACCTATAGACTTACTTGTAGTGTAGGAATTGTAATTTAAACAAAAACAGTGATTTATCTTGCTAATGAGGTGGGACTGCTTTTATTTTGAACCCAATTGTGTGTGTGTGTGTACATATATACTGTATATATATGACAGGTTATAAACAAGCCATATAAAACCTATAATACAAAACAGCAATTACCTGATGTGAAAAATATGTTATGATGGTTCTTATTTTGTAGGGTATGTGATCTGAGTGTTGTAGATCATTTGACACAGTAGAATACATTTGTAGTTCATGAGTAAGGCCACATAATGAAGGCAGTGTTTCGTTCAGTGCTGCTATATGGCTTCTTTGCTTGACACAGATGTAGGTTTATCTGAGAATATGTCATTTTAATATTGTGGGTCAGTGGACCATACAAACATCTAGTATGCAGAATTTGGCTCTGCATGTAGGGCAAGGAACCTTGCTGGATAACCAAGTCTGAGGTCTTTGTTGGTCCTGGCGACTGGCAAACCATCGACCCAAACAAAAGAGGCACCACATGGGTCTGCAGAAACACTGCTGGCACTCTGATTCATTGTCTATTCCTGTAGTTGAGATACAGACAATGGTTGGTTATTACAGACCCAAATATGAACACAGTCTTCCCATTATTTGCACTGAAGAGATACTATATCAGCTTTAATTTAAGAAGTGATTTCTTATCTCTTTCTAAGAAAAAAAAAACATGTCAGTGTTTCCTACATAAGCATAAATAATGTCAGAAACTCACATATGTAGTAAGCTCTTACCCGTTGTCTGGCAGAGTCTAACCAACTTGGTACTTGCTGGAACTTGCATGCAGCCGATACAGGGTTCCACTTCCTGTACATATAGGAAGAGTAAGCAAAATGCATTTGTGTACATTTCTTTGTGGTTGTTGCACAAAATCTCAGAGATTCAGAGTACTACCTGCCCACTGGGGAGTGTGTATCGTTGATTGAGCTCCACCTGAGCTCTGAAGGTTTCCAGAAAGAGTTCACTCATTGTTTGGTGGATCACAACATTGGGAGAAGTTCTGATGGGAGCTCTGAGCTTTACCCTCAAATCAGTATAATCTGTTGAGTTAAGACTGAAAACAAAAAAATAACCAATTAGTCACTAAACAATAAAACAGAATTATTGAATGAATTGTGTACAAGCACATACACACACCTAATATTGAATGGTCTGACTGTAGGGTTAATGCTCTCCACCCTCAAGCTCAGGATCTCTATGGGAGAAGGTGAATCTGGGCTTAGCTGATGCTGCCTGGAATCTGTCACAGTCACATGACAATCGCTTTGTAAGGCCATGTCAATGTGATATGTGGTCACCTACAAACAGCAAAAGAGAGCTGACGTTTTTGTATAACTGCTTTTACTAATAGACAAGAGTCAGATGAGCTTAAAATGCAATTAAAATTCCTCTATAAGACCAAGAAAATAATGCATTTGAGGTAAAACCACCATTAGCATTTGTTGTAGGTATAGAAGTTTCAAAAATAATCATGGAGCACCTGGTCTGTTTCGGACGGCTAAATAAGCAAAGAAAAATGAAGCAGATGAACTGACATTGCTGAGGGCCGATGAGAGAAACAGAGGATTAACAGAAAAACTCGAAAATGTTGGAAGAAATTTAAACGGGTCCTGCCAAAATGTGCCCATCGGTTGGAACCCAGCGGTCTGATCCTAAAAATTAGCATCAATACGGAGCTTAGCTATCATGTAAGAAATTAGCATGTGGAGTATCAATGTTATAATGAACTGAATACTTAAAGTATGCAAACATAAGTGTGTAAGCTAAAATGATCCCAAGGGCTGTCAGTGGCAAGTGGGGTATGAATGGCATGTTGTCTTAGTTTAACTCACTCCATTAACGCACTAAACGTAACTAATAAATAAAAAAAAGCTAAATGCTTATTTGAGGGAAAAACCTAATGCCAATGCACTCCCTTGCAAACCAGCAGCAAGCTGAACCTCACCTGGGATTGTGCAACCCCTCGTTAACTACACTGACTACCATTCTAAGTGAACATGCTCCTATGTCGTCAATAAAATGGCCAAAAACATTTCATATATGAACTGATTTTCCATAATTTAGCTTATGTATATGATGTACAGAGTTTTATGTCACCAACTATGTGTGTAACATGATTTATGTGCTGAGGAGCGATCATAAACGACACAGAACAGATTCGAGGTGAGACAGGCAGTTCTCTTGCCTCACGGCAGGGGGCGCTCATGATCCCAGACATTGTGACCTCACAACTGCAGAGTAAGAGACAGTAACTGTTACTGAATAACAGCGAGCTCACCATGGATCTAGCCTCCAGCAATATATTTATAGTTTTCTCCTCTTACCACAGCAACCGCTTATTAATAATCACAAAATAAACATTAAGCCTAAAACTATATAACTGCAACAGACTGAATGATCTGCTCTTTGTGTGGAAAATATTTGAGTGATTTTTTTGTGGTATTGAATGATATATGAATATATATATGGTATATGAATTGATATGGCAACGAGTTTGTGCATTGCTGCGCTGATACAGAGCGCGAGAAAGAATTGGTTTTGAGTTGTACTTTTACGGTTTCCTCCTTTACTGTGGAGCACAGCATGAAACTAATAATATCAAGATTGATTGAGTTAACGAAGTTATTCTACGGTGGCAGTGCCTAGTACAGCATACATCAAATATAGTAAGGTTTGAGATCATTTGAATATCAGACTCTCACTCCATCCAGGTCAGGTGTGTAAGTCCTGATCTCATCCTGTGGGATGCAGTGGCACCCATAGGTAATGAATGGATCCCAGGTCAGATCAAATAAAAAAGGGCTTGTCCTTTAACAGTGAAGAGAACACTTCATACGGGATAATACCAACCAGTCAGCTTCCACTGGTTGAGGGTGGGAGCTTTAAAACTGATTCATATGGACAGAATGCATTTCCAGGCACAATAATGCTCACTCAATCCCAACAAACATGTTCTGACACTTAGAAACATATTGCGCTTAAAAATTATAACAAACTGTGGAGCTATTATCCCCCAAAATCTTTGAATATAGGGGAAGTCCACAAGCAGTGAATTAAACAGCGGATTGACGTTTGATACTCAGTTCTCACAACGTTGGATTCATCCAATGTCAGGCCTTAGGAGCCTATACAAGATAGGCCATAGATCACTCCTAACACTTTTTGTTTCCCCCTAAAGGAGTTTGACACCAGAACCTTTGAGGGGTGGTTACTCAAGGTCTCTCAGTCCTCAATCTCTATTATACCCACAGCGGTTTTCCATTTGCCTTTTACTCTCCCAGAATTGTCTACATTGAGATCATTGAGGGCAGAATTGAGCCTCCATTGAATCATGTCTCCCACAATTTTTATACTTCTGCGCTTCCAGTCAGCAAGACCAGTTCAAAGTCCAGGTTGAAAGTTGGGATTCTCATAAGTAAGAGTTATCGAGGAGAAACAACTGTCATACTTTTTCCATTTTCCTGAATTTATACCAGATGTTTAATAAAAGAATATTTACCAGCACCACAGCTCTAGCATAAGAGATGTGTAACAGATTTTGTAAGCCTTTACAAAAAGGGTTACAAAAAGGCAGGGTACCTGCTGTCGGTAGGCACTCTACCTAAAGCAGCTGATTCGCAACTGAGCCACATTGAGTCAATATTTTGTGTGCACCATTCCAAAAGAAACCTACACTATGCAGCCTATAGGTAAACAGGAAATGAGGGTGCAGCTGATCCTCCCTTTTAAACTGTATCTGTTATTGTTGTTATGCCAAATCCAAGATAAATTGGAACTATTTAAAGTTGCACTAATCTTCCTTGATAACTTCAATGGCAGCATCTGAAAGCAATACAAAAGGCGGGGGAAAATGTTCATCTCAATCAGATGGATACGTCCCAGAAGGGCTCCATCCAAAAAGGCAGCTGCATCTTTGGGAAGTTGAAAGACTTTTTCCTGTCCGTTATGTTTGATCCCGAGCACAGCCATCTGGTTGCATCGCAGTGTTTCTTTCTATGCCCAACCACAATCCATAGAGATGCTGGTTGTCTTGATATCTTCTCTGGATAGAAATATTCTGGTGTGAGTCATTCACCATGTCAACATGAGATCTGTGTCCTATTTTCAACAATGTCCTACAGTAATGTATAGCTTGTCTAGTTGTTAAGAGTGCTAAAAGCTGTTCCGTTCATTGCATAAGGGTGAGCTGCCACAAATACCATTAAATAATTAATGGCTACATCAATAAAAGTGATGTATTTATGTGCGACAGATTGGCGACCTGTCCAGGGTGTGCCCCGCCTCTCGCCCAGAACGTCAGCTGAAGATGGGCACCAGCACCTCGTGATCTCATTAGGGACAAGGGTGTCAGAAAATGGACAGATGGATGGAATAAATATGATTCAATAATTAATAAGTTAAATTATCCAGTCATATTCTCATCAAATTTACAACAAATCCGCCTATCAACATATACAACTGACAGGCCGCTGCCCCCAGAATTATGAAACCCTCCACAGAAGATAGTAGTAGTAGTTTGATTAATCTGCGTTAGATTAGATAGAATGTTCACTTAAATTTTCAGATTAAGTGCATGTACAACATGTAAACGTTTGACAGCCTGTAGGAATTAAAACTTTTTTTCGAGGTAGATTTTGTGGATGTTACTGGTATGTAGTATTTGTAACCAGCACCTGTTGCTGTTCATCATAACCTGGTCTCCCTTAAAAAGATTCTTAATCTTAATTATTCACACCTTATTACCATGTATGTCTCGCCAAAAAAAAGGTTGTCATCAAAATAACACAAATATTTTTTTGAACCGCCTCTAGTTTTGATCACGGCAAGACCTTATATACAAAACCCCACTCAGACAAAAGAAAAAAAAAACTCTGAAAAGGGCCATATAAAGGAATGAAACTAACTGTGCTAAAAGTTGAAGACAAAGGAATTTTGACAGACCTTTAGCAAATTCAATGAACTATTAATATGCAAGTTGTCAGAAGCGCATTTGTTTGAGGAATAAAGCTGTTTTTTCCTTGATAGTTTTGAAATCTCTTCAAAACTATCAACCTAGTTTTGAAGAGATCACTGTTACACTCACCTTCAGAATCCAGCTGTCTGTAACAATAACACGGGCTCCAGGCACTCCTGTCACAACTTTGTCTATTTGTCTGAACTCTCTGTTGATGCTGGCTGCCACCTGGCCAGAAGTGGAGTAAGGAAGCTGTGCATGAGCTTTAAGTGTCCTGCTGATGGGATGGTTGTGCCAATTGCAGCAGCGCCAGTAAACCACAAGCAGCCAGCTGGTCAATTGAAGGCTCACAGAGAGAAAGAGAAAAACTCTCCAGCCGTCACTAATCTGGTGAAACACAATACAATAGGGCTCAGATTAGATAGAAAACTTCCCAACTTGAATAAATAAACTTAACTTGATTTTTATCTAATTTTTGATAACCACAATAGTGGAATGAAAAATAAAAGGAACACACCACCACTGTCAGTTTAGGAGGCCTATATGCACACATTTGAGTGCATGTAGGAGTGAACAGTACTTAAGTGCTTCTGCATTCTGGAGGCTTGGAAAGGGTGTTAAGCACCTGATATGGTAGTCACTGTTACCTGCAGGTTATATCGGTCAAGTACATCAGGCCCAAATAATTCAAATTTCCTTCCTGTGCCAAATTGTTTGTTTGTGCAGAATTATGCACTAGTGTCAACACTCTATCAACATGTCCACAGTCTGTTTGACTCAGACATTGTTGTATTTCTGTGTTAATCTGTGGTACATATAACCTCAGTGATCTTCAGTATTTGTATAGTATCTCAGAGAGAAATGTGAGAAAACTGATAAATTGTGCAGACTTTAAATTAGCTCAAAACCATAAATATCGCTGTTGTTTTGAATACTTATGACAAGTATGATATGGAGTGAATTTAAATGAAAAAGGAATCATGATGAAGTGTGGCAGTTCTCCATTCTAAAATCTACACCTAGTTTTCCAGTTGGGTGGAATTTTTCTAAATTTGTTCATTTGTGGGGTTAATTCAGGAATTAAACCAACGAATTAAAAATGCAGTTTATATTTTAATATGCATTACTTCAAATCTGCAATGTATGCATTACTGATCTCTCTAAACTTGAATAATGAGCAACATCACAGGTATCCAAGAATCCACAGGGTGCCAATTTAAGAACATATTTATATATCTTGGAGGCTTAGTGTGCTGACTTGGCCCGATTTAACACTGTTCAGAGCGGAGTGAGATCTCTGACTCAGCCAGGAATCTGACTTGAATTTAATTTAAATGATCTGAAATGACACAAGATCATGCAAAAACAGTTATTTCAAATTTTGTCAAATACACTGTACTCTAATGTGTCACTTGATTGTTGAAAGCTTAGGGTGTCAGACTGTAACATATTGCTTCACTTGTGTTTCAAAACAGTTCTGGTTCTTATAAATCTTGCACGACAGGTAGACCAACTATGAATATTAGAGGGTGAATATGATCATCTATTGTGTTTGATTTGAATCCCAAATACTAATGAAAACAGCCCCTACCTGCTGAACAGATACAAGGTCCTTTTCTGGGGCAGCAACACACATTCCCATGAAGTAACCTGGGGAAAATAACAACATGGGTATGCTTTTCATAAAATATCTAATATTCCAGTAAATATTTCATGATATTTACTGGGAAAATATTAAATATATGTAGTTAGAAATAATAAACAATATATTTATTATCTAAATATGCAATCATAATATATACTGGAAAGAATACCCATGTTGTATGCATGAAAGCATACCAGTTCTATGTGATTTAGATTTTTAATGAACAAGATTACCGGAACGACGTTCTGTAATCTGAAAGTTTGTTCCCAAGAGTCAGCTAACAGCTAACCTAGAGGAAGAGCGCTGTGGATCAGTACAGTGAGGCTGGTCCTCCTCAAATGGTGCCCGATGAAGTCAATATCCTCACTGCCCAGCCAGGGCGAAAACGCATTTTGGATTGTTAAACCTGCTGCGCGGAATTCGTTCGGTGTAAAGATAAGACAAACAGCAAACACGGTATAAGCCAAAGTGAAAGATAACTCCGGGTCCTCCATATTTCCTGGACTTTGCTTCCGTTTTATTGTTCTTCAACATGTTTCGCTTGAATGCGTGCTGCCCTCTATAGGCAGTTGCTCTTATCAAGGACGTGGAACTCAAAAAAAAGAAGAAACATGAAACCTTTTCATTTTCCAAATCAGTTTAGATTTCAACAACAGAAGTATATTGTCTCTTTTCCACCGGCTCGGCTCGAATCGCTTTCCAGCCTTTTTTTTTTTTTCGAGGCTGGCCCTGCTTTTTAGGTTCCTGCTTTTTAGGTTCCTGCTTTTTAGGTTCCTGCTTTTTAGGTCCCTGCTTTTTAGGTTCCTGCTTTTTAGGTTCCTGCTTTTTAGGTTCCTGCTTCGGAGTCGGGCCAGCTGAATTGGTGGGTGATGCAAGCTTCACTCCTGTTCTGTTCTCCTGAAGGCAGCACTGAGAGGCACCACCAGAAATTGACAGAAACACCTCAGAGAAGAGTTATGATTAATGTAGTTGCAGTTCTCTCTATGTTTTAATGTCGCAGAACACTGTCATTTTACAAGTAGATCAAAGTTTAAACTGCCATTGTTGCACATCTTTTATCTGGTCATTTTGTGCAAGATTTAGCAATTAACATCAGAAAATTGCACAGAACAAGATTCCCCTCTGCCCCCCACTCTGATTAGTTCCTGATAGGTTTACTAATTTTAACATTGCATTTTTTGTAGACGCCTGTAAAAATAATTTCTATTCAGATGGCTTTTTTTTCTCTGGGAAATTAATCTAGATGATAAATACAGAAACAACCATAAAAATCAAAACATCAACAATAGTGATGTTTACAGTGTCACTATTTTATTTTAAAATCATTATTTTATTCACAATAAAATAATATTCACTGCAAAGTAGCCTGCAATTTCTTTTCTGGGGCGCAGTGAGGAACCTTGGTAATCGTTAGGGGGGCGCTGGCCCAAAATAGGTTGAGAAACACTGCCTTTGTCGGACTTGTTCGGACTGCTTTTTCCAGAAAAACTGACTGGGTATCTCACAAAGATAGAATTCCTTCTCCACCTCTCTGTTTCACAAGCACACATGACAGCTGGCTGAGAGCTGAGCTCCACTTTAGAACTGATGATATGTCAGAACTCCAGACATGGCAGAACTCTCACTACAGAGGAGGGCTGAGTTGGCAGTTAAGAACTACAATGATGGTGGAACTCTGAGTTTTTTTTTTTTTTTTTTTTTTTTTTTTTTTAAATGGATCTTTATTGAGAAACAGAAGACAAAACAATACAAATACAATAATGACTTCCAGCAGGGGTTATATACATAGACAGTACATCCCCATAATATTACATGAACAATTTTTTTTTTTTTAAACAAGGTAATTACAAACAAATAAGGCAATTACATTAGTGCAATTCTGTATAAGACATATCTAATAGAGGCATATTTAAAGTGGAAATATAAAGTAACATTGACAATAAGAGATTAGTATAACAATTAGTAATAGTGTAACAGTAACTAACAAAGGCAGCAAGGGGATTCATAAATTAGGATTAATATACATCAGTGGGCAATTCCATTAATATTTCAGTCAGGGATTCATAAGAGTCAATACAATTCAAAGCTTTCATATATAACTTAAATTCAGATAAAAAGATGTTAAAGACTGGGGATGATCTCAGCACTCTTTGTTTATGAATAAAGAATTTTGCCAAACAAAATATTAAGTTACAACAAAGTTCCATAGTTTTGTTTATTAATAATACTCCAAAAGTTACCATATCTCTAGAAATAGATTCAGGAAGTGTGAATTTGGAACTGATCCATCTTTCTAAGCAAATCCAAAATGTTTTGGTTTGGTTGCATTCATAGAAGATGTGGTCAATCGTTTCAATATCTCGTTCACAAAAGGAGCACTTATTGTCATCAATATTAAATCGATTTTTTAATAATTCTTTTGAAGGGTAAATTGCATTTAAAATTTTAAAGTGTGTTTCTTTAGCTTTAGGTTGAATAGGGAGTTTAAGATAAAGGGATCTTAACCTCTCAATTGATTTATTATCAAACTTGCAAAGAATGTTATTTCTATTTATTTTCCCAGGGAACAAAGTATTGTTTAGACAGTTTCTAATTGTGTGGTTATCAAACTTTTGGTCAGTGAATGAGATTCCATTAATAAATAAATCGGGTAATTGTGGGGTAATCGGATTATATGTTATCAAATTTTTAACTTGGTTAATAAATTGGTTCGGAAAGGCATTGACTAATTTGGTAAATTCAGCTCTTGGGGGGAAGAATTGATATTGTTCACATAGTTGTTCATAGTTTAATATGCAACCATTAGCATCCATTAAGTGTATAATGGACCAAATATTCTTCTTCATCCAATCCTTGTAAAATAAGGATTTACCGCGATGTAATATGAATCTGTTATTCCATATGATAGAGGAGTGTGGCGAGTAGTTATGTACATAGAGCATTTTCCAGTATAGTAATACTTGTTTATGGAACTCTGATAGTTTAATTGGCAATTTATGAATATTGAAATCAGCTAGAAGTACAAGTTTTAAACCACCAATTTTGTTAAATACATAATTAGGGACGCAATACCAAAATAATTGAGAATTTTTAACCCAGGATTTCAACCAATTAATCTTAAGGGTTCCGTTAAAGCTTTCAAAGTCAATTACTTTCAGACCGCCATCTTTGATTTCTTTCACCATATGACTTTTCCGTAGGTAGTGTGGCCTGTTCCTCCAAATAAAGTTCATGTTCATTTGGTTAATAGTTTTAGTTAAACTATTTGGGATTGCAGTACTATAGGTTGAGTAAATTAATCTTGATAAACTTTCCATTTTCGTAAGATAAATGCGTCCTAAGATAGAGAGGTCTCGTTGGAGCCATGAGTTAAGTTTGGATTTACATTCTTTAACCTTGTTTTCAATATTTAAAGTTGTTACCTGGGTTTTGGTTATTATAGTGCCCAAATATTTAATTTCAGATTTGATTGGAATGCTGGATATTTCTTTTAGGGGAGTGTCATGGATGGCTATAAGTTCACATTTTTTTAGATTTAGTGTTAATCCCGAAGCCTCAGAGAAAAATTTTATTTTATCAATTACAATTGGAACCTGTTTGTCATTTTTTAAGAAAATGGTGGTGTCATCTGCTAACTGGCTAATGATTAATTCTGTACCAAAAACATCTAATTTCTCAATGTCTGCACAGTTTTTAAGATAGATTGCTAACATTTCTGCAACTAAATTAAATAGATATGGGGAGATGGGACACCCTTGAGGAATTCCAACATTAATGTTAAATCTGGCTGTGGTGCCTTTAGGTAGTAATACACAACTATTAGTGTTTTGATATAAACCTCTAATTAAGTTAATAAAATTGGCTCCAAAACCAAAATGTTCAAGAACTGAGAATAAGAATTGATGTTCCACCGAGTCAAAGGCTTTATAAAAGTCAAGAAAAGAAGAAAGCCATCGTCTTGGATTATGTCTCTATATTCAATCAGGTCCTTTACCAGCCTGATATTGTTGTGGATTGACCTTCCTTTTAAGAATCCAGATTGTGTTTCTGCAATAATGTTTGAGATTCCTGTTTGGAGACGCATGGTAAATACGTATGTTAGTAATTTATAATCAGAATTTCTGAGTGTAATAGGTCTTCTATTTTCAATAAATCTAGGGTCTTTACCTGGTTTGGGGATACATATAATAATTCCTTGATTCATTGTAGTAGGTATAGAGTAATTTTTAAAGATATCTGTAAAAACATGAAGAAGTAACATTTTAATGTCGTCCCAAAAGTGTTTATAAAAGTTTCCCGTAAGTCCATCTGGACCCGGTGCTTTATTTATTGATAAACGATTAACAGCCTTATCAAGTTCTTCTATTGTAATTTGCTTGTCACATGTTTTCTTGTAGTCATCCTCAATTTTAGGGATAAATGATTCAATTTGTTTTAAAAAATTGTTAGAATGTGATTCTGAAAACTTGGAGGTATATAATTTGTTATAGAATTTAAAAATTTCAGCTGATATTAATTCTTCATTGTCAGTTTCCATATCATTTATAATTAAGGATTTGATAGAGTTCTGTTGTTGTCTTTTTTTTTCCAGATTACAAAAATAGGCCGTGTTTTTTTCTCCTTCTTCAATCCATCTCGCTCTTGATCTAATAAAAGCCCCTTTGGCCCTCTGGATATACATTTCATCTAATTGGGGTTGGAGAATTTGAATTTTTTGTTTGTCTTCTATTGAAGGATTGGACTTATTGCAATATAAATTAAGTTGTTGTATAATATCTAGTTCTTTCTTTTGAATATCTTTTTTAATTTGTTTACTGAATAAGATAGAAAATTGTCTGATTTTATATTTTAAGAATTCCCATTTTTGACTCGGACTACTTAATTCATCAGAATTCTTAATATCTAGGATTAAATCTTTGATATTTTGACAGTAAGTATCATTTTTAAGGAGACTACAATTAAATTTCCAATATTTACTTGAATTTGATTTCCAGTCTTGAGGTTTCATTTGTAAAGAAATAAGACTATGGTCAGTCAACGGTGCAGCAGATATGTCTGAGTTGATTTTATTGGATAATAATTCGTTAGATACCAGCCAATAATCAAGTCTTGATTTGCTACTTGAGCTAAACCATGAAAATTGAGTACAGTTGGGATTTAAATGTCGCCATACGTCAATCAGATTTTGTTCACTGCAAAAATTGTTAAGAGTTATGTTAGGGTAACTTGAATTATGTCTAGAGGGCCATCTATCAAGGAATTCATCATAAACAAGATTGAGATCCCCACCAATTATAACATTTTTGGTTGAATAAAGTGATTTCAGGTGATCTAAGTTCAATGATATTTCCTCAAATAATAATTTGTTTTGGGTTTGGTTGTTATAACCATATATGTTTAACAAAATAAGAATTATGTTATCCAAACAGATAGTAAGAAATATCCAGTGACCAAATTCATCCATTTTATTTGATAATATCTGACCTTTAAAGTTCTTAAGAAGAATAGCGACCCCTGCTGATCTTGAAGAACCATTACAGAAATAAACTTCATCTCCC